GAGCTATAGTCTAAACTAAACTCCTAGTATCCTGCTTAATAAACCCTATGATACTCCCCTATACAATCACCCATATAACTTCCCTGTACGAAATTTAGACTGTAGCTCATGTCAGAGCATCCCTTTAGGATGCAGTCAGGCAGGCCGCCATATCGGCAGCAAAGCTGATCTTTTTCGTCGTACCAGCGTAGGATGGAAGTTCCTACTGCTCCCCAAAATCACTGATCAACATTCCCAAGGACCTTCGAGGAATGACTAGAAGAACGTAAGCTTTACCCTTCATAGCCCCTACATCGTCCAGGCAAAATGCTTAGTGACCACCATATAACCACAACATACTACATAGTCGTTTCCATGTTCTTTCCCACTATCCCTATGTAACCCCAATATATCCCCTATATAATAAGCCCTGTAGTTTCCAGTTTCTTTTCCATTATCCCAGTATAGCCCCAATATAACCCCTATATACTAATAGCCATAGAACCCCAATATACTATAGTAGTTTCCATTGAAAACCCTAAAACCTAAAACCTAAACCCTGAAACCCCAATAGAACCCCTAGTCCAGCTCATGGGACCGCAAGTGTCCTCGAGCCAGGACTCCTTGAACCAGGAGAGCTTTCCATTTCGGAGCTTCACTCGAAAAGGCTGCTCGGAAGTATCCTGGGTTGCTGTTAAGGAACTCAAATTAAGTTACCATAATGGGTATACATATATATATATAGTACATAACAGGGTTTCCCCAGTATAGTAACTGAATTTAAGTTCCTTAACAGCAACCCAGTATCGTCTTCCATAATTCGACCAGTCATGCCCTTCGTGCCAACCTGGGTAGCGTTGCAAAGCCATGCTGACCGCTTTGCCCAAGACCTAAGACCTGCCAGGCAACCCTATCGTCGTCGTAATAGAGGCCTTCTTTGTCCTCATTTTCGGTCAAAACCTTTACCCGCGCGCCAACCACAGGACGAGCTTTGGTTGGTTTTGGCGGTGAGATGGCGTTGGCCTCAGCTGTGCAACTTTCCACCTGCATTCCGTGCAACCTGCGCCTGGTGCTAGGGCCCCAGACCCGTCTAGCAGGTCTTTTTGCAGATCTTGACCTGCCAAAGCGGTTTATTCTGAGGATGGCTTGCTGGCGGACGACAACTTCCGCCATGATTCTTGAAGCTCATAGCCCGCCTGCTCCTGCTTGCGTCTTTTTGGGTCTTCGAATCTCTGGCCCCCTTTCATGTTCGAACTTAGGGAAACCCCATGCGTGGAGTAGCAGACATACTTCTGCTGTTTCTAAGAGGTGCCTTCTTCTGGCCAGCATCTCTGCTGTCATGTCTTCGCCGGTGACGCCCATGTCCTCCAGGAAATGCTCACCATGAATTACTACGTGCGCTAACACCCCTGATGATGATGATGATGGTGGTGGTGGTGGTGGTGGTGGTGATGATCAGTGTGATGGAAAACCATGGCAGCCCAGGTTGCCTTTTCAGTTCATCCTGCAAAATACGAGCTCCACATTTTTCAAACGCCATCTCCAAGACACTCGCAACATGCCGGAGGCACTGGGAAATCTGGGCAATATTGGTTGCAACATCATTTGACTCATAACTTCAGTCTGCAGAACTGCGCCATCAACATCATCACGCTCCTCTACGGGATCGGCTCGACCGCCGCCTCTTGTGATCCTGCAGCAGCCGTCATCGGCTTACGAAAAAGCCTCTACAAATTGATCTCTCCAATCTACCATCCACATGATGACATTCTTATGATCCAGACCGCAGTACGGGAGCCCGTGTTGCCTCAAGAGCTTAGGGTTCAGGATCTTGATTATCTGATGCCTCTCTTGCATGACGTCTGGGTACTTGCAATACAAGATATGATCGGTTGCCAAATTATGGTCCTGCTTTGGGCCCCAATATAACACACAGCCACGAATTATGTCGGCGTGCCCAAAAAGGGGCCACAGTTTTGACAACTGCCCGCACTGCTCTGCTTGTCCACAAGATATCATGAAATCAGGACATGTGCCAAGACTTTGGCTTGTGAGTGCGCATCAATCCTTGAGGCAAGGACCTTCCGAAAGGGCTCTGATGTGTGCTAGTGTTTTGTGAGACGGAATGATCGCCGTGGCTTAAATACTGCAACATACTACAACCATCCAGGGAGAGTTCAATCTTACTGCGTAATAGGACTGAAACACTACTCACCTGCTCACTGACAGGTGTGCATCCAACAATGTGGCGTTCCTCCTCTCTTTCAGGACTATAAAAACGTCATCCCGGCTGTCTTTAGTCGTTCTATGTAGCTGGCATGAACTAGGACCCTAAACCCTAAACCCTCCTTGGGAATGAGTTACCACCCATTAACAAAAAAAAACATTCACAGGGACCCCAGGGTCTGATTATAGACAGTTGCCAATGCCTAGCACCTACCCCTAAAGTATTGGCTACCCCTACTATGAGCCAACACCCCTTTGGTAGTTTCCCAAAATTTGGATTATCCCTCTATAGCTTCTGTAATATCCCCCTACTATTCCCCCGCCCCCCCTCGCCCCAACCCTAAACCCTAAACGCTAAACCCCAAAGTTTAAGCCCTAACCTCCCCCCCTTTTTTGGTGATAATGCGAGAAGCTCCTCCGCTCGCCGGCGTCTATCTTTGGACCTTCGGCCTGAAGGCAAGGATTTCTCATGCAGCAGCAAGGCGCCAGACGTGCCGGTGATATAAACATATACTACAAGTACTACATTATACTATAATATACTTTAATAGAGTATTATTATAATGTTATTAGCAGAATACGTCGAAATCGTAGCAAAAGGAGTACTAGCTGTTGTTGTTGTTGTTGTTGTTGTTGTTGTTTTTGTAGGAGTGCTGAGAGGAATGCATAATTGCACGTGAATTCCCAGTTTGGTTCTGAACCCCGTGAAAGGCGCTGCGTTGTGACATGGGGTTTCCCAACATTAGGGCTCCTTTGGGGGTCCCTATAACTATTATTATAATATTTTTGGGTCTGTTTTAGAGTCCCCCAGTCTAGGGAAAAGACCACATGAGCTATAGTCTGAACTCCTAGCAATCCCCCTTAACAACCCCAAATAGCAGTCCCCTATAAAATCCCTATATAACCCCCTTTAAGGAGTTTCGACTACAGCTCACATAGGAGCACGGTGATCTTCACCAAGGCTTCAGTCAGACATCATTCGCATTGCAGAAGCTGGGTCCGGTTTAGGGTAGGGTTTAGGGTTTAGGGGTTTAGGAACTGAATTTAAGTTACTATATTGGGGAAACCATATTACTTGTAATGACTATATGAGCCCTGGACTAAATTTGTAGTATATCCCTTGAATAGGTCCCCCTATACATGCCCTCTAGCTCCCTCCCAACCTAAATTTAGTCCCTACTTCATATATACCCGCTATGGTAACTTGATTCAAATTCCTTATCAGCAACCCGGATTGTCTGGATTCTAGTCATTTCAGTACATATAGTAATTTCCATTTTATTTTCCATTATCTCTATATAACCCAATATAATATATCCCTAAACCCTAAATCCCACATACCCCTGGGTTCTTGAATTTAACCCCAATATATACCCAACTACGAGCCCAGGAAGGGGATGCAAGCCAGCCTTCCTTTTTCTTGGTGTCGCCATCCTCCGGGAAAGCACAGGTGCCCACCCAGAAGGATCCAAACACTGGACCCCCCCCTAAGATCCCTATCTTCCCCAATGTAGTAATTGGTTTCATATTGGGTGGGTTCCATTTCTTGGATCCTTTAGGTGGTCTGGGCAAGGATGTGATGAAATTCTTCAGGCCGATGGAACACCTGTAGATTCCCACTTTAAGCGGCTAGATGCTGCTATCTGCGAGCTCCTCCTCCCGGGTCTTTCGCTTTCTGGATGCCGATCTGTCTGTTGACTTGGTCTCCTTCGGTTTCTCGTCCTCTTTGCTTTGCTCCTCCTCTTTGCTCTCTTTACCAATTTCCTTTGGAGCCTCCTTGCCTTCCTTCTTCTCGGCCGCTTCGCTGTCAGGGGCTAGCCCCTCAGCACACAGCAGGCCCGAAGCCGCCTGCCGAATCCAACAATCAACAGCTGTGCTCAACATCTTTGGCTACCGCAATAGTTCACAAAGTCCTGACAAGCAACAACAAAATTGTCTTAAAAGGCTACAACACAAGCAGCAAGAGCTGAAGTCAGCTATTACGGCAAAGTAGAGCGTCTGTGGTGAATCACCCTACCGACCCTGTCATAGAGAGTCTCACACGCACAGTTCAAATGCATGCAAGAAGCCGGCTCTTTGTGGTTCTTGTCTTTTGCCCCAACCTCAGTATCATGAAAGATACTGAACCACTGTTATGACGAGCCAGGCATTTAAGACAGTGTGTAGATCTACATCTACAGACCATCATGCTCACTTTGATGATGCGCACCATAGAGAAGGAGAATGAACACCCGGATATCGCAGCGATCTCGAGATGCGCATGCGACCAGCGATAGACAGCCCCACGTGCGGCCTGGCAATTTTGAGCTCCTTCAGCCCTATCTTCTTCACATTGAGGATAACGCAAAACGCCTTTCAACCTTCGATGCAAGAGCCGTCTGCACCTGACACGTTGCATGTCGTCTCCGTTCGTCTCCACACTATTCCAGTATCCCAACTCACCTTGACTGGAGCTGCTCTCTTCAACGAATCCTTAGCCCAAGAGGACCGGTGCGAGGCTCTCAGGCGCTTGAGCATGTTTCAGGTAGTCCGAGACGGACATGAATTTAAATGCACCCGCAGATTGGCAGATTGATTACAACACAAATAAATTCTGAAGAGGACTAATCGCGTGCTTTCGGAGTCCTCTTCAGAATCTATCTGTGTTGTAATCAATCTGCGGATGCATTTAAATTCATGTCTATCTCGGACGTATTGAAGGGTAGCTGAAGCCTGCTCAAGCGCCTGAGAGCCTCGCACGAGGCCCTGCCCGCCGGTCCTCTTGGGCAAAGGCTCTGGAAACTTGAGAACAATCACTATGGCAGCTGCGTTGTCAGCTGCGCTGACTTTCGCGGCATTTTTGCCCACTGCTTTGCGGCATCCTCGGGTTGTTCGGTTGTCCGAAGCGCTCTTCGTGCATGGGTGACGGCAAACTGGTCCTTGAGAGGGTCCCAAATGCCATCCGAGGCCAGGATCAAAAAATCTTCCTCGTCATCAATCTCCACTTTGTACACATATGGCTCGTTGATGATGCCCTTCACCTTCTCGCCGCTTTGATATGTGATGTTCCCAAAGGTGCGAGAGACGGCCACGTGGTCTCCAACGTAGCCTCCGCGCACTTCAACCCCAAGCTTCTGAAGCCGTTCGGCTTCGGCTGGGTTCTTTTCCGCCCCGTGAT